ACTACAAAATATGACATACACAATGGATTCATATGAAAACATGATAAGAATATTGGAGATATTCTCAAATTTCTATGTTTTAAATTTCAAGAGCGTATGTTTATTACTTTTTCTTTAATTATATTTTTATTACCCCTTTCTTTAAGAGGTACAGATTATCATAACATCAAAAACACACTGCAACGACGTCAACCTACCTATCAATTGCAAAATCGGTTAAAAAATCAGTTATATCAAATTTTGTTACATTTTTTTTACCTATGATTTCTTAAATTTGTTTAATTTTAATAATTTTAAGCGAAAAAGTTCAATTAAAACAGTAAACACGCTTCATTTTATTATGATGCGTAAAATTTTGCGCAATGAAAACTATAGTCGGCCCCCTTAAAGACAATTTAATTTTGTCAGTTACTATGCATTTTTCAGACAAGCGAAAGTAATACTGTATACAGGGAAATTTTCGCACCCGTTTTATTTTCGCCCCTTTCGCCCTACTCTCATTTGGGCGAATTTAAAACGGGGCGAATTCAAAGAATACAGTATAATTTCTTAAACAAAACTATGACTGGGCGAATTTAAAACGGGGCAAAATTGTTTTCAAGTGTGAAAGGGCGAAAATAAGACGGGGCGAAAATAACCCTGTATACAGTATTTTAACAACATATCTTCTAATCACACAGTGAAGGAGAAAAAGGAAGAATAACTCTGCTAGAAGACTGTATCAGTAGAGTTTTCAAACATAACCTGTTCCTGCTTCCTTTCCATGTACTTTATATGTTCTTATTACATGTGCAAATACCAGAAACAAATATCAGGGCAAAAGGCGCATTATAGAAAATATTGTAAAATTCTTTCTAGATTTTTTTTCTTTTAATCTTCCTCTTTTATTTCAATTTAAAATATTATGTCAGCAAATTACTTCCAAGAACATTAAAATCTTCAACCTGTTATACAGCCTACTAAATAAACGGATAACCGCATATGATGAGTTGTTACTAAGAATTGACTTTAATGATTATAAGCAAAATTAGTGACTAGTCAGTAACAATTATAATCGTTACAACCAAATAACGGACCAATATATTATTTTCAATTTAATTTGGTTGTACATAATGCAGAGATCTAAATAATAAAATTGAGCACGTTCTGGCAATTCGAAGTAACTTGGCGACATAAAATGCATAAAAAGGTTCAAATCTTAAGGTTATATTGCTGCATTAATAACTTAAGGTACATTGAGATCATATCTTTGAGTTTGTAAGTAAGATTACCAATATCGAAATCAGATCATCTTACCATAATGATTATTTTTGATGAAGAAATAATTATCTTACATATTGACACACTCGTATGTTTTGCATTCTGTATTTGCATATAGGGAGTAGAAATATGTGCCACAGGAAATAATGCAAGTTGTTATCAAGTTTAAATTAAAACCTAAATATTAGAATTTAGCCATTATTGTACCTACATGTGTCGAATTCTTAGACCTCTCCTTTAATCTGAAAAAAATAACTTTATTTTTAATAATTATCAAGAATTGCAAGTAGATGAAGAAAAAATCAAATGTTTAATTTTCTAAATATTCGATCTATTGAACACCTAATTTTTTGACATTCTGGTGTTATTTTCAAATTTCATTTATATATACTTAGCTTTAGCTGCTGCTGTTATATTCATCAACTGACTCATCAACCAACACAGGAAATTAATTAACCCATGTTTTGTCAATTAATCATGATAGTTGGTCTCCTTTTACTTGTTTCTTGTTTCCGTCTGCTTAACTGAAGTTTCATAAAATACGTAGTTAAGTAGGGATTCTTCTCATATTTCTTGTATTTAAAAAAATTAATGAAATTTTCACAGAATCAAGAAGACAATATCACTAAGTGATAGTATCAGTGAGATTAAATTTGACCGTTTTATATTAGAGGCAAGGTCAGGTCACAGTCATTACCTTTTTGTTGGACATTAATAATCAAAAGACACGAATTTTCTCTACTATTCTTAAATTTTTAGGATATATTAGTGATTTTTATATGCTACCTATATTTGATTTTTTTTTTATTTTCACATAAAAGATACCACAGAATCTGACACATCTGTTTCATACTTAAATATTTTACTTGAAATAGAGGTTAATGGTAATATAACAACTAAGCTCAATGATAAACGTGATGACTTTAACTTTTCTATCGTCAACTTCTCTTCCTTATGAAACAATATACCTTCATCACATGCATACGGCATCATAGGCGTCGAAAGCAAATTGAAAGTGGGTTGACTTATTGAAGGTGGGGGAGGGGGGGGGGCTTAACCAACAAGAAAGGTATGCAACACCTATGGGTGTTTATATATCTCAGTTGATTCGATACATAAAAGCATGCTCTACGTATGAAATTTCTAAAACAAGGTAAATTTTTGACAAACTAGTGAATGAAACAAGAATATCAGCAGTCTCGTTAAAAGTCATCATTTTGTAAGTTGGTCGATACAATGACCTTGTCAGCAAATACAATTTATCATTGAGTCAAATGCTGACTGACGTTTTTCATACTGATTGTTAGTCTACTATTTATACACTGAATTGTCGACGGATTTTCACGTTATCTCCCAATTAAGACAAGGAGCAAACAGCGGGTGTCACCAGTCTGCCGTTGATGCTCACTCCTCCATGGCACCTGATCCCACCTCTGATGTTTTAGAGGTTCTGTGATGTTTGCTCTCCTCCTATTTTGTATTGTTTTGTGGACTTTGATATAGAATACTGTGCAATATACTCCATCTCCTCCATGGTAAAGTTGTCACATAAAGATAAAGAATGAAACAAAAACCAAAAGTTTTGATCGTTTCCTATGAGAGAAAAAATAAGGGACTTTTGGCTCAAATATGTACTCAGATTGGAAGCTTATAAAAGCTAACGTAGTTCTAGTTTATTTGAGAATTTATATTTATTTGATATTTTTAGATATTTTAGTTGTATATTATTAACTATGCGTAAACTTGCATTTCAAAATTTATTAAATTCTTTGATTATGTAAAAATTATAACTAAATTCATTGCTATATAATAATTCTGAGGGCAGAAAGGAGGATATATCCATACGCCACCATCCCGCAAAAATATAGTGTATGCTTGTTTTCAACGCGGTTTACCATTTCTATTTAAAAGTGTTCAATTGTGATGAGGAAAGAAAAATATGGTTATCTGAATCTCTTACGCCAAAATATATAAGGCATATATGCAAATGTACTTTGAATAATTTATTTAGTTAGAAACCAGAGAAGAATCCTATCTTAAATATGTACTTTTAATTCAAACGAAGTGTTACACTATCATTAGATAATCAAAATAGGGAAAATAAACCTTCTTTTTTAATTTTTGAATTGGTATTTCAACACTGTTATTTGGTTAATCAATCAAGGTCACATGGCTGTAAAAATCCAACTGACAAGAAGGAATAATTATATACAGTCTTAAGTTCTATATATTTGAGTTTGATTTTGGTTTTTGTAAACAATATCATTTTAATCGTGTTTTACCAAATTTTTATTTCATTACAATTACTAATTATTTGATCTTTCTTTTTTTGTTATCCAATATCGAGCTGCCTCTCGTTGGAAGTAAAAAAAACCCAAAGATGCGGATAGTAAACTTTTGTAACTTTATTCCGCGGCTCATGGAAGAGATTCTCAATTACAAGTTTTATAAATTTCAAATGTCAAATTAAAAAAAACAATAAAATACACAAAAAATACACTTCTAAAGAATGTTAATCTTCGACGTTTTAAAAGTTATTGTCAAGGTTTAAGCTCTGTAAAAGCTTGCAGATGTTGAAAAACTGCAAGATAAAGAGAGATATATTTATTGCGAAACGGCGAATTCGGGAACAGACAGACGGACGGATAGGATAAAAACTATTCGCCTCCGAATCGCCGATTATTGGGACATGTGTAGTATATAATGAACGAAAGACAAGGATGTTTCAATCTGTTTTTTTTAAATTTTCATTTAATAAAATAAATGTTTAAACAATAAATTCTACCTTGTGTCTACACACAGCCTAAAAATGTCAGGATATAGTGGGATATGAAAAAAGTTATCCAGTGAGTTTTATCTACTGGATAAAATGTAAGATTTACATGTGAAGGTATTGTAATGTGTTTTGTGATGAAGTATAGATAAAAGAATTTTCCTTACGTTACTTGACGTATTTAGCTGATTGGATTAAATATATGAACAAACACAATGAATAATAATCAACAACACAATGATTCAAACTGATCTTCTGTATTATTCTTACTTTCCTTAGCTTGTTATCTCCTAGTCCAAGTACAATGCCCCTGGTCTGACACTATGTTTGAGCACTAGCTCCCAGACCTTTAGTTTTGAACACTGGGTTTCAAACACCCGTTTATAATATAAATAAACTATTTTGTTAAACCGTAAGGATTTATGTCACTCAAATGGTCCGTCTGCAGAAGTTTGAGACGCCGCAATTGAGATAACACAAATACGTGTACCTTACCTAGTCGATGAGATGTTCTCTCTTTTCCACGGCTTCTCAATAACTGAACACCGGGCCTTAAACAAGTCCCGCTTATATACTTTCCGAAGATCTGCTGAGTCAGATCTAGACTTCCTAAACGTTTGAAACACTGAATGAACGTAGGAGATAATATTTGATTGCAAAAACTACTTTAAATCTTGATTATATATAATTATTAACTTGATTAACGGAATTTCACTACAGTATATAATTGTATACAGTGTAAAATTTATATTTTTATAAATACCTTCAGGCAAATGCATGTATACTAATGTAATTAGATTTTATAAATATACAGTGTGTTCGATACCTCAGTCTGAAATACATTGGGTGTGATATTGTGTGCTGAATTATTAAAAAATAGATCTGTCACAATGAACTTTTAAAAACATATTTATGATGATTGAAAAGTGCCATATTTGTTTTTTGTTGTATTTGACTCTGGGTTAGCTTTTAAGATCGGTTTACAATGACAAAATTCCATTGTAATGAATACTGCATTACAGAGTAAATAAGGACTAAGTGTTGGGCTTTTTCGTTTACCCAAGTCCTATCTTGAGATTATCTACCGAGATTTGTTAACAGGTGCCCCAGTGTGAGGGTTGGCATTTCTTTACCTGTAGACTTTTAATCAGGTAGGAAGTACTATCATTGGATCCCACCACAATGTTTGGACGGCAGTTCCTGTGTTTTATTTGTCTTCTGAAGTGCACCACAAACGTACTTGCATACAACCTTGTTATCATTCACACAAACGATGTGCATGCCCACATTGAGGAAATGAACAAGTACACGAGTGCATGTAAACCCGATGACAAGAACAATGGAGAATGCTATGGCGGAGTTGCACGAAGATTTACAAAGATTAACGAGATTCGGGACCAGGACCCAGACCACACCCTTCTGCTTGACGCTGGGGACCAGTATCAGGGGACGTTATGGTTCAACATCTACAAAGGGAAGGAAGCCTCGCGATTCATGAACGAGATGAATTACGATGCTATGGTAAGAATAGGAAAATGTAGATTTCAAATTATCTTAATTAGGGACGATTATCTTAACCCACTTATTAAGGTAGGTTATAAATGTTCACATATTTAAATTTTCATCCGGTGTAATGTAGATATATCTACAGTATGTACAGGTACTTTTTAACATATTTATTTCACACTGAACATTCAAACAACTATATCTTTACAGAGAATTTCTGAAGAAATACAAACAGAAAAACAAAAGCTTGTTTGCTTTAAAAATCTCCTTATTTGTTGTCAATCAGGAATGTGCTAAATGCCGTTTGTATTACACGAGTTAAATGAAGCTACTGATCAATTAGACTAAATCAAATGCTCAGGTAAACACCTTATTCATTTTGCATATTGTGCGTTTCTGATAATACATATATTTTAACCTGTTGAAAATGCATGTGTATTTTTTTTTTTTGATTTATAGAGTTTAAAAGGAAAATTACCATATTTGAATAGAAAGAATCCATATTCAGAAATAAAGATGCTTATATCTGCATGGCAGTTGTATCAGAAAAAAAAATGCTATATTGTAAATATACACGTTATATTAGATGGGTTTTTTTATTTCACCGAATACGGAATAATCATTAAAATATATGCATTCGGTATTTATATAAACCTATCTCGGCGAGTTCATCAGCTTCAGTCATATCAATTCATAAATATTATTAAAGTGTTGTTCATTCCAATAAATCTGTCATTATAATGACTTGAAACTACACAACACTATAGGAGCGAAACCCTATACACCTTACAAAATACCAATATCTCTAAGTCTATCGAATTACATTTATATGTATGATTTAACAAATTACCTTTCAAACCTACTTAAAACAATATTTGATTTTTCTCCCTAATTTGATTTACCTGTATATGTTCTCTTTAAGTTTATTCATGGATGATTCCGGATAATTCACTTTACTATTTATGATAACTTTTTTTCCGTAAATGTCATTGCTATATAGAATATGTTATGTTTATGAAAATTATGTTGACTTTCAATAAACTTTAGTCATTCCATACAAAATTACACATACATCAATGAATTTACTTTCAGGATGTACAGAACGTATTTTAACTAATAAAACATGTACAATAATAATTTACTTAGTCTTAAGATAAATAATGTTGAGATAAGACTTACCCTTTTATGACTTTTATCTCGTAATGATCATAAACAAGGGAAAAAATCCTTAGACGCTTCAACCTGTAAAAGTAACAAATAGGATGGAAAACGTCATGTAGTCAGCATTTGACGAATTGAATAAATAGTATTTATTAACAGTATTTTTTATCATAGAACTTACAAAATGGTCACTTTCAGCAAAACTAATGATATTCCTATCTCATTGACTTTTTTGTCAGTACCGTTTCCTCGTCTAAAAATGTTCGTATACAAAGCAAACTCTTAGTATGAGGGTATCTAATCAAACCTTATACACAGGCGAGAATAGCATATTGATAAAAAAAATTAAGAAAAGAGAGAAGATGAGAATCCATCAAGTCTTCATAAAGTTTTGTTAGAAGGTAACTGGTTACGTCTTTTTCTAGAAAAAATATCCAAATATGAAACAGGTGTGTCCGACTATGTTTTATCTTTCATTTAAGGATTACTGAGTATAATCGAATCGACTTAAAAATGGAAGGTTTGTTAATTAAAAACACATCGTTGATATATTCAAATGTCGAGTTGAAGACAAATGCAAACATTTTTTCTTCTTCTAGTGTACAAGTTTCTGAATTAATTCTGCTTTATATAAGTACAAATTTAGGTTTGCTAACAACCACGCGCAATTTAGTACCAACTAAAATTCCTAAAGATTGTTGGAAGACTTGGTTTCCAAAAATAACATAAATATTGGCGATGAGAAGTCCAATCCTCTTTTTAAATCAAGTTCTTGAGTTAATAAAATTACTTAGTAAATGATCAACGGCATGATAAGTATATTTAGGAATTTATTTTTTTTTCTTAGTAAAGCAGCTGTGAATGATGACAGAAAGCCTTAATTTTTCGTCAGGGATGTTTGTATAAAGTGTTTAAAAAAATCGTACGTTGTGATATTATTAATTTTTATTAATTTTTATATGATTTTGTGATTTCAAATCTTATAAAAGTTCAATGGAATTTTAGGTATCCATACCTGAATTACATCACTTCCCTATTAATATTTCAATGAATAGTAAGAAATTTGGTAGGATCCGCTATTGATCATTGTTTTTTAAGGTTTTTTCAAGTTAAGGATTTCTGTATATGTCATTCAAAAAATTAAATTGGTATTAAATCTCAGTTATATCTCAGTTGATTCGATACGCAAGAGCATGCTCTACGTATGAACAATTTCTAAAACGATGTAAATTATTGACAAGCAAGTTGATGAAACAAGAATATCAGCAGTCTCGTTTAAAGTTATCATTTCGTAAGTTCCATGGTCGATACAATGATCTTGTCAGGAAGTACAATTTATCATTGAGTCAAATGCTGACTAACGTTTTACATACCAATTGTTAGTCCAGTATTAAAACACTGAATTGACGACGGATTTTTCCGTTGTTTTCTGATCATGACAAAGAGCTAACGGCGGGTGTGACCGGTCAGCAGGGGATACTCACTCCTCCATAGCACCTGATCCCACCTCTGATGTTTCGGAGGTCCGTGTTGCTCTGCTCTTATTTTGTATTGTTTTATGGACTTTGAGATTGAATACTGTTCGTTATCTCCATATCCTTCTTCCTCTAAATAGGTCTGAGAGACAAAAATATTATTGTTACCTGCTTCAAATTGACAGCTGTGGTACCATTGTATAATGATTGTGTAATGTACGTATCAAATTCTCTTTTTTTTTTCACAATTCTGAATTACTGACGATGGAAGGTAGATGCCTTTTTATATTTTCCCTCCCTCGCTTTATGTAACATTTTTTCAGAGAACATGTCATGATATATTTCTCACTGAATTTCAAAAATAAGCATTTTAATCATGATTACATGCACGATTATAATTGATATTTATTGCGAACCTCATTCATGTTTGGATGTAACTCTATCCACATACAAGGATATAGATGCTCATCATGTCGTAAATTTTGAATTTCCTCATGTTGTAAATTTTGTATTTACTTTCCCCACAGTAAATTCAAAATTTATAGCATGATATCATATTATAATTCAACAAGTTAAGTTACTTTATTTTGACAAACATATACAGTTTCGAATATAACCTTAATTTAATTTGAGAAAGCAATTTAAGAATTAGTACATTTGATTATATCGAAAATATGAAAAAAAAAATTCAAAATAATTTTAAAACTTACACCAAAATTTAATTCAAACTTTCGACAAAACATTTCGAGTTCATTGTCTCTAGATTTGAATGCAATAAATGATAATAAGCTTTAATAAGAAAATATTTTTTAAATTTATTTATTTTAATACTTTCTATAGTAACACCAATTTCATCGGCCAAACTCTTCTTTCAGAGCCTGGGTAATCATGAATTTGACAATGGTGTTGATGGACTTATACCTTTCATGGAAAACGTTACTTTCCCAATTGTCTGCTGCAATCTTGACACGACCCATCAGCGAAACATGGAAGGACTGTTCAATTCCTCAGTAATCATAGATAAAGGTGGCAAAAGGATCGGCATAATTGGGTACCTCATAGAAGAAACTGCCTTTATATCTAATCCAGGTAAAGCGTTATGAAGCTAGGTCAATGCATTATAACAATAAAGTTGAAAATATTGACACTCTTATCGTGAAGAAACACTGATAAGAGTTGGAGACTGCTTGTCATAACACTAACTTTAATGTCAGATTCATATAGAGATTTATAAAGTAATAGTAAAAATATCATTAATAAAATCTGGAGATCCAAGTTCTCATCCTTATTCTTAAGGTTATGATTCAACCTAGATTGTGGTATTATTTACATCAAAAACTTCAATACAGTAATCTATATATATGTAAAGAATGATACCATGAGCCTGAAAAAATGTTTGATTCTGTGAGAAAGTGTCATGTTTTCGCAGAATTAAATCTAGTCGTGTCTCCTGTAATCTTGTTTTTTTTTATATGGAATTTGTATTGAATCCTTTTATATCAGACGATTATTTTTTTCATAATTAAAAAAAAATTCAAGATAGACTCAAAATATGTGTTAAACGGTGTCAAGTTTGGTTTCCAAAAGAAAGACTTGATCTTAAAGGTGCTTAGACACAGATTTTAGCTTCATACGTTCTCAACTTTTCTCTATAATGTCACGACTTCTGTATTGCAATAGCATTTCACACGAATATAAGATAAAAATAAAATTATCTGGAAATTATTTGAACAACGAATTCCGGTATCCTCAATATATAAGAAATTAAAAGAAGCTATTTTTGTGTATTAATGAAAAATATTACATCAAGAAAATTCAGAGTAATAATGTGCAAAAGCAACCCCCCCCCCCAAAAAAAGTAAAACAGTATCGTCAGTCCGTGCTCAGTATTCAACAAATTGAATACACCCGTGAAACGTAAACAGTTTTTGCAAACAAGGCACAAGCTATGTTACTAATAATGTTTACGATTCATCGCGTGTTCAATTGTAAAACTCTGACCACAGACTTACAATACTTTGGGTGGGTTTGGCTTTCGAACATTTCTACTCTTAATTTTCTTAGCTATAGTTTTAAAATTTTTCATTGATACAAAACAAAATTGTGTCTCACTAACCACTTTTCTTTTAAGTATTATTATTTTTTAGTATGAAATGATATGGCAACAACATATGTCATGAAATTAAACAAAAATATTGAGAAAATACTAACTTCAAATCTGTGTCCAAATACCTTAAAAAAAGAATGTTAAACTTTTTTGATTAAAGATGTATAAAATCATTTCGAAAAAAAAATAACTCTGCGCAAGTCTTACATGTGTTTTACTGTTTTATTTAGGATAGTATTTTAAATCACTGTTAAAATTATTTCCTAATATTCAGATGTTTAATTCTTTGTAATGGTAACAGAAGTTGAATATGTTATTCTCCAGGAAATCATCTGCTTGAATGTTAAACTTTGTTGATGAAAGATGTATAAAATCATTTCGAAAAAAAAATACTCTGCGCAAGTCTTACATGTGTTTTACTGTTTTGTTTAGGATAGTATTTTAAATCACTGTTAAAATTATTTCCTAATATTCAGATGTTTAATTCTTTGTACTGGTAACAGAAGTTGAATGTCTTATTCTCCAGGAAATCATCTGCTCTTCAATAATGTCATTGAATCCGTCAAAAACGAAGTCCAGCGAATCAAATCACAAGTAGACATTTTAATTGGACTTGGTCATTATGGTTATGGAAATGATATAAAATTAGCAGAAGCCGTGCCCGACCTTGACATCATTATTGGGGGACACACCCACACTTTTCTATACAATATGACAGGTAACATTATACAGTTATTGACTGGGTATGAGGGCAACATATGATTTGTTGGACCTGAAGGTGAAAATGTTGCCCGAGGCCGCAGGCCAAGGGCAACATTTTCATCTTCAGGTCCAACAAATCATATGTTGCCCGAATCCTAGTCTATAACTGTTTTGTTATACCCTTCACTGCTCACTTAAGATTGATCAATTTTATCAATACACGCTATACTATCAATTATTTTATATGGAAAATTATGGCTTCTTCAGTAAATATAAACATCAAGCTGAGAAAGAACAAAATCAATTATAAGTCTCTTATATCACAAAAATTATTTATCACAAAACACACTCTTCCCTTCTACCTTACCTTGCTGTTAGCAGCAACTCTTAATAGCTCTTAACTTCGGCTATTTTCGCGTCGCCGATATTGAACGATGATTATTAATTGTGACGTAGCAGACAGGTGACGTTGCGGTCTAACAATTCTTATGTAAGACCGGTCAATAGTGAAATTGTTAGACCGACGTAATAAACATTTCTTTTGTTGGACTTTTTATTAGTAAGAAATATATAGAAGGATATTTATAAGGGTGTAACAAATTCAATTGTTTACAATATAGTGAAATTATCCATCATTATTTTCTCGATAGGTCAAGGAACCTTTAAAGTTCGCATTCATGATATAAAATACTGATGCATTACTATTTTAAATTCGGAAACGTGAAATCATCTTAAAAATATGTATGAAAATTGTAGGTCCTTTTCCTTCTAATGATAATCCTGAAGGACCTTATCCGACAATAGTAGACCATGGTGCAAGAAAAACCTTAATAGTGCAGGACTACTTTGCTGGAAAATATCTAGGATTTATCAACGTTACGTTCGACACTAGCAATAATGTAGAATCCTGGACTGGTCTGCCATTTCTACTGGACAACTCAACTTTACAAGGTAGAAAGCAAAAGTGAATTGTTTTTCATACTAATTGTTATGCTACATGTATTATTGTCGACAGATTTCTCGATCATGGCAAGGAGCAGGTGTGATCGGTCGGCAGGGAAAACACTCATTCATACATTGATACCACCTCTGATGTTTTGGAGGACCGTGTTTGCTCTGTTCCTATTTGATATTGTTTAATGGACTTTTAAGCTTGAATACTGTTAGTTATATCATCATATTATATTGGTTGTAATAATCATTCAAAATGTAAAGTGTAAATTATAAGGATTCTAATATATTTGAAGTTATAGGCGCTTTAACATAATAATAATTATACAATTATTGTGTAGTAGAACACATATGAATAGACATTTTTTTATATATATATTTCGTCAATTGAATAAACATTCTAAATTTATTTAATTAAGTCTTTAAAGTATTACAATTTTAACATGAAATGAAAATAACATAATTGACAATATAAAAATGCAATTAATTATTTACTATTTACATGTATAAATACATTATTTTACAATAGCTAAATCCTATGTATTAAGTTTTAGGTTTTATTTTTGCTTTAACTTGAAGGTAGATGAGTAATGTTACAAGCATTTCCTTAGAAATTGATAAATTAGTGTGTTTTATTAATTACTATTTGATCCATTGCAATTCATTTTTAAGATCCTCGGATATTAGCGGAGGTAGCTGAAATGAGTAAGTTATTGGAAACAGAAAAACAAAAGATAGTGGGATATTCATCCGTGTACTTAGAGGGAGATTCTAAGATATGTCGCTTAATGGAATGCAATCTTGGTAAGCACGTGCGATGAATTAATTGAAGTAAATTCTAACTTCTAATAAAAATAAAAATCACAAATAGAACACATTTTTTCATCAAGCTATTTGAAATTCATGTAATAATAATTCAGATGCGATGTAAGTTTACTTATGTTCGAAATATTTAATGTTTTCACTTTTCTTTGGAAAACGTTCAAGTTCAAAATTGGTTTTATCTTAAATTATAAAAAAAAACCTATTTCAAATTATTAAACCTCTTTTCTATAAATATATTTTTTTTAGGAAATCTTATAACGGATGGAATGGTCAGTTTTCATTCAAGAAGCATCCCAATGAATAACTCCTGGAGTAATGCTGCCATTGCAATTCTTAATTCTGGTGGAATACGTGCACCAATCGAAAATGGTAGGCTAACCGAGCAAATGGCTTTATTTTTCCTAATCTTAAATTATTCCTCGTTGTTGAATTTGGAATGAAACCATCCTTTTGTATAGATCATGCATATCAAAAGTCAGCGGATTGTTAAATAATTTCTGAAATTAAGAAATGAGAGCCTCTTGTTATAGAGTAATCCAGAATTATTTCCTTGCCTTTCAATTTAGTGACAGTGTAGAGATTTATAAAATGGAACTTCTTTTTTCCGATCTTAGGTAATATATCTCGGGGCGACGTGTTGACAACAATGCCGTTTGGAAACAGTGTGGATCTTATCAATCTCCAGGGAAAATATCTTCGACAGGCATTGGAGCATTCCGTAGAGCGTTATGACAAGCTCAACAGAATCGGAGCTTTTCTTCAATTGTCAGGTAAAAAAATGAGACAAAGACAATAAATATCGTATTTAAGGGGGGGGGGGGGGGTTACATTTATAAAAAGAATAATTTCTATAGTATTTATGAATTGACACACAAAAGACTGCGCCAATTTGTACATTATTTTTACAACCAGAACACATGCAGTATTGGTAAGAATGAAAAAAAAATATATCATGATTCATTATATTTAAATAGGACTGAGAGTAACTTTTGACTTGTGTAAACCTGCTGGTCAAAGAGTCGTGTCTGTTTACACACGCTGTAGAAAGTGTACAGTTCCAAGATATTCTGTGTTAGATGACAATAAAATATACACTATAGTTACTCTGGATTTCGTCATTCGGGGAGGGGATGGATACAAGGTCATTAAGGACCATCATACAGATCATCAACGATATAGTGAGTATTTTTCTGTTGAGTGTTGTAATGTTTAGCTCACTTGAGCTAAAAGCTCAAGTGCGCTTTTCTGATCATCAATTGTTTGTCGTCCGTTCGTCCGTCTAACTGTCCGTCCGAGTGTAAACTTTTCACATTTTCAACTTTTTTTAAGAACCACTAGGTCAATTTAACCAAACTTGCTACACAGCATCCTTGAGTGAATTGAATTATATGGAGATAACAAGCAGTATTCAAGATCAAAAATCCATGAAGGGGAGTTAAAATTGCTAAGGCACCCCCTCTCCTTTCTAAGGGAAGATAATAAAGAAAATACGAAAATAGGAGAGCTGAAACTTATAATGAAATAGCCTGCGTTACTGTAGATTCAAAATTTTTCAAATCATGATTCCTGTGGGTAGGGCGTGGTAACAGAGAATTCAAGTTTAACATTTAAATATATGAAAATCTTCGTCTCGAAACCACAGGGCCAGGAAAGCTGAAACTTATGTGAACATATCCTAGAGTATTATAGATTCTAAAGTGTTTAACATACGACTCCCAGGGGTGGGTCGAGGCAACAATAGGTATTACAAATGGAGGATCTAGTGAAAAACAGCATTGTCAAAATTACTCAGGTGAGCGTTGTAATCCAGAGGCCTCTTATTTACTGGATAAACTCTACAGAAATATTTTTTTATGTTAATTAAGAAATAAAATATCATTTTTAGAGTTTCCTTGGGGTATGACATGAAGTCGGTCACGTGATCATATTCTGTGAAGCTCGAAGGGCGTTATTATACACTTATCCACTGGTTGTGAGTGGGATAGCTCTTTTATCAAACCCGCGACAGGGAACTATTCCCCGAGGGCTTGCCCGAGGGAAATAGTTCCTGTCAAGGGTTTGATGAAAGAGCTATTCCAGTCACAACCAGTGGATAAGCGTTTTATCATACTGATGTATAATATAATTTTTGAGGTTTGATTTTTTTTTATTGGAATAAGATAATACTGCAAGAATAATCTGAAATCCTGATGACGTCACAATGCTACTGAAGTCATAATGACATCATCAGTCAATAGATTTACCGCTGCAAATCAAAATTTTCTGAGGGTGGATAGCAAAAACTATACCCCGGGGTATAGCTTTGCTATGCGTAGACTATAAAAAATAGTTATTTTAACTGCTGAACTTTATATAGGAAACTTTTTTTATTGGCTTTCACAAGAATACAAAACAAACAATATAATTATATATTACCAAAATATATAAAAACATATACATGTACATGGTGAATTTCTTGATAATTTCATTCTTTTACACAACAGTACAAAGTTTAATTGTACCCATGAAAGTTTTTTATTAAAAAAAAAGGGAGGGGGGTCAGCAGTAATAGAAAAATGCATCCATATATTTACAATCAAATAATATAAATATAAATCCTTAGAATTAGCACATATTTACATTTCATCATAAAAATAGATGATTTTTTTTTCAAAGTACATCACAGATTTTTTGCCAGTGCCTTTCATATTCCATATATCTACAACTCTGTAATAGCAAAACCTTTTCGATAAAAATTCTGTCTATAATCCTCTTTATTAGAGAATCAATATTTAATTTTGGAACACTTTTATATTTACTAGCAAAATTAAATTGTTTTACAATAAGTATTATCAAGTTTTGTAATTTACATATATTCCTGTTCTCGTATTTACCAAAAAGTATTGCTTGTTTATCAAAACTACAATGAATCTCAAATTTTTCCAGAACCCATTGTTCAATTCTACACCATAAATCTTTTACTTTAAAACATTCTACATGCAACTGGAAACATTTTAACAGAAGTATAATAAAGTAGATTTGATCACGTACCGACCAATGAAACTCAAAAAATGATATTTTATTTCTTATATATATTTGACGTTTTTAGTTGTGCTACAAAGAAATATAGGCATTATTTAGACTTTGCTTTGGAAATGCAGCATAACGTATCTACGACGTCATGTGACGTCACAATTGGAATTTTCCAAATACCTCAGGCAGTTTGCTTTTCGTACTCAAGAAAGTCTGATTCTGTGACCAACTGCATTTCATTGAAAATTGAATTTCAATTTTATTAGCATTGTTATATAAGGAAAGACATCAGCAAATGTAAATATTATGGAATATATGCCATTTTGGTCAGATAGATTTAAAATTACTAAACACTGATATTGAGATAATTATAATTTTGTAATAGTTAATAAAGAAATTAAATGAAATTGTAATTATTTTGAGAATTGTGTTTGTTAATTGATGTGTGTATTGCAGATAACATCGACAGTGATGTCTTCACAGCATATCTCCAGTCACACAGTCCAATAATTAAAGGAGAAGAAGGACGGATAACTCTGTTAGAAGACTGCACCAGTAATGGAGTTGTCAAACATAATACGTTCAAATTTTATATTATCACTCTATGTATTTTTGTTATTTTTAGATAAATATTTCAGATTAACAGTTTTTATCGTTTTAAATGGTATAAACTACTTCAAAATTGTATATTTTTCGGAATAAATGGTTACATATATTTTGTTTAATATGGGATTGAGATCTGTATCAAACATCTTTTATTTCTTTTAACGACTGATCCATTGAAGCATATTCTACAAACAACAGAACAAATAACCTCAAGAACTTTTAGCCTCTTTTAAAAATACGAAATTTGCCTCTGAGATTGAATAGAAAAACAGTACACCACTTGCAAGGTTTGTACAATAAAGTTGATGAAATAAACTTTTTAAACACTTATGACTGTTTATAATTAAAGGAACAAAATAAGAATATTTAAAAGGCCTTTAGTCCAGCTCAGAATCTGATAGAAACATAAAACCAGAGGTCCAGGAACTAGGAAGAAGCATAAACTAGTTCAGTATTGAAAAGTTTTTAAAAGAGGGACGAACTTAAATTTACACTTCATCAGGGTGCTTTTATATTAAAATTACTAATCATGGCTTTGCTGTTCTCAGATAGAAAAATTTTCCCCAGGAATTCCTATTTGAAATTCTGATTGCTCATTGTAGCCCAAACCAACCAACCCTAAATATGAACACATTTTAATCAACATTACTTGATGATGGTTTCAAATTATGACTGATTATTGCTTTGCTGTTTTTGAGAAGAAGATATATTCAATGTGATTCATACATCATCTTATGCAAAAGATTGATCCCATGTTCTTCTCCAACCCTTGAAGGGGTATTAAATTGAACAAACTTGAATCTACAATACCTCAGGTTAAATTTGTATAAATAAGACTGTACTAGTAATAGCTTAGTTCGTCTTGAAAAGAAGATTTCGAATATATTTTCTATGTAATGTTTCTTACAAGGGATATAAAGGTTTTCCTTTACTCTGTCTGAGTTAACAATTGGAATAATTACTGACAGCTCTGTCTGAGGGTATATCACACAGTACTTAAATTTTCTCTTATCTAGAGATGGGGACTGGGTGAGGCACCACTTGCACCGAGATTCTAACCTAGGTTACTATTGATATATAAGAACCAGTTGCCTAACTCTTCTTCATATTTACTACATACAGAGCTTAACATCGATTCCCCAGCAATAGTAATAACTTTGACATCTGTTGTGGCCCTGCCCTCACCCAGGAGTCATGATGGAAACAAACTTGAATCTTCACTACCAGAGGATACTTCTATTATGAAAATATATGACGAATCATGGCTTTGCTGTTCTCGGGAAGATTTTAAAAGATATTTCGGATATAATCTTACGTAAAATTCCTACTCCTCTTGAGATCCCGCAGTACCCCTAGGGGTTAAGATGTTACCGAACTTGAATTTAGAATACGCAATGAAGCTTTCATATAAGCCAGTGGTTCTTTAAAAGAAAAATTATGAAATATACGAATTCTTTTTAAAATCCTCCTCCCCTGAAAGGTGGCCTTACAATTCCGTGAAGAAACTCAAGTCCCCTTCTCCCATGGATGCTTTGTGGCAAGTTCAGTTGAGTAGGTCCTGTGATTCTTGAGAAGAAGTCGAAAATGTGAAAAGTTTAAGAACAGGCAACAGATGGACACCGGACACTTTTCAATCAAAAAAGGTCACTTGAGCTCAGATGTGCCAAAATATAAAATATTGAAAAGATAGAATGATTACATACAAATGTATTTGATGATTCCAAAACGTTCATATTTGTAGGGAAATATTAAAACTGATACTTTTGTATTAGTACATTTATGAAATAAGGAGATATACCTTGGAGAATATTGCTTTTTAAAGAATTAAAGGGTAACTATGGTAACTATAACGCAAATCCGGCCAGTCTGGTCTACTTTATTGATGTGATAAATAAATGACCGAAATAATAGTAATTATCGCTAATTAATTTATGCAATTGGCAGAAGGAGACAGGTGTTAGTTCGTACGATATTGTATTCTCGCCCACAGTGTACAAGTACATGATAGCATAGATATTAAAATAAAGGAAATAGCACATGTAGAACAGAATTAAAATCAACTTATAAATTGAAACCGAAAAATCCATGGAATATAAATTTTAACTGTTAGTTTAAAACTTTCGACGAATAACTGTATTGGTGAAACTAGATAGTAATAACAGAAATTGGAAGATAATTTAAGAAAAATTGCATTACAATTAGTAATAATACGAGTTTATAAGTAACAACTGTGTAGAGAAAATACGAGGGGTGATCAAAAAGTTCGCGAGCTATCTCTATATTTACAAAACCACAATTCGGATTGGAATAAAATTTGAAACACATAAAGTCATACGCATGCTCTATAAATAGCATATGTAATGGAACGTTTTCCCCGTGTTTGTGACGTCACAATGTGAAAATGACGTCATAAGGTAGATCACTTGTGACAAAAATTGGTTGACTAAGTCGTATTCGAGAAACGAACGGCTATAAAGTTATACGTATATCTTGGAAATTCCTCTGTAGAAATTTATGATAATTTGTATACCGTTTATGAAGATAAAAGACTTGCCAGAAGTTTTGTCCTTAATTGGATTGATTGTTAGAGTGAAGGAAGGGAGATGTTTAAAAATGATGTTTGTTCTGTTGCCCAGTGAAAGCAAACTGGGAGAGAGACGTGTCCTTTGTTAACCAATTTGATATGAAAGATCGTCAACTTACAGTTAGAAAAATAGATGGATATCTTTAGAATAATATAATTATCAAATCCCTAAAATATCGTTTGACTTTAAACATATCAGTTATGATAAAGTGAAGGCACCAATACTTTATCCACGTGAAATAATCGACGCTCAAAAGACAGAGGACTTGGGTTTTGATGGTCACCATGCTCATTCTGCAAAAGGATATCATAATCCACCCATACTATTGCCGAGATTAGGCCATTTCTGACAAATGGACTATTTTTGTTGGAAAAAATAACCTGCATGGTAAGAAATATAAGAGTCGGAAAAATTTTAAGCTTCTGTGACAGAACGCCAAGGAGCATGTCACGTGACCGCCTATATCACGTGATCCGCGCATGGACAGAATGGTTGCAGATGCACATTAAAATCGGAGAGGACTACTTTGAAATATTTTCAACATTGAAACCCTATATCATTTCTTTTTTAGTAGTTATTCAATTATTTCGCGAACTTTTTGATCACCCCTCGTAGTCCTAATTGTCATAACGGTCACCGTACTTTTTGGTCTAACTAATGTTCATCCTGGTGAAGTCATTCAATTTGTTCATACATATCAGATTAGATTTTTTTCTGTCCTTTTTCTCTGAGTATCGGTCAATTTTATATTATGGTCAATAACCAATACCGTCATATCATCCAATATGTGACCCTCAAGGGTTAAATATTTTCTTATGGGTTTGCTACTTGGTCTTAATGGTTGGACAGTAATCATTGAATCTTCTGTGGAGATAATCTGTTTGCCCAAGGAACTGTTTGAAATAAACTTTACAAACTGAAGAGTTAAATGCAGTTGTCTTTTTGCCAGGACATATTTCTTAGTTGTGATTCTTCAGCACGGGATAAATCAAGGTTACAAGAAACCCAGGAAATATATTCCTTTTCACTGTAGTGTAACATGTCCTGCCTTCTAATCAGTAGCACTCTGTAGGGCGTGTGCTTTGTAGTCTCTTGCATATATGGGATCTAAGAAGATTGTCCGACATGCTAACTACCGGGTATAAGTCTCTGAAACACAAGTATCTGAATCCCATGTGTTTCTTACCACTGAGTTACATGGTTTCAATCTGCGCCACAAATTAATTATTATAACGTATTGCAAAGACTTATAGCGGCGCTACTGTTCTGTTCGAGAGTTTTTGCTTCGAGGGTTATCTATATTGTCGTAGACAGTCGCACTTTTGATATTTGTTTGCTACATTCTCGGTTACATGCTTTTATTTCATCTTCATATTTAAAAAAAATTGGCGTCTCTATATGAGTGAAAAATTCTCGAGAGGGACTTTAAACAATATACAATCACATTTAAAAAAAAATTAACAAACAATGACTAGCTGGGAAGCAAAGACCATTTTATTTTCTTGTATATAAATGAAATAAGGAGATAACAAGAGTAATCAAGATTAAGAGTCCAATACAATAATCGAAAGAACATCAAACAAGGACCTTTTAAAGGAAAAGTTTGAAACAAGAATGTAGAAATCCTTATAACATCAACATATGTGTGAGAAGCCTGTCTCGATTCAAAGATCGATCGTAATCGGGGAATGGTCTTGGGTAACGAATAAGTTGTGATGATAACTTTTGTAAATTGATATTACGTCGTTCATATACTCAAAAAAAGAAACGCATATTCAGATTAAACATTATAAATATTAAAAAGTTTTCAGTTAAAAACTTATTTTTTAAAAAGTGATTTAGAGTGCGTTATGATAAAAATCAAACATGTCCTATGTTGCGAATTGAAATGTTACATTGATGTCATTTTCATCGCCCCCAAATTCTAGGGGCAAACAAATCGATATGTCGTTTGCTACGTCTCAGCGCCAATGTATTTCCAATGTACGGATGTCGTGGACGAATACCAGCTCCTCTCAGTCTCTTGCGAACAATTTGTGCACTTTTATGCTGATTTCTTCAACCAGCAATTGTAGCTGCAGTTTGTGCAGCAGTTCTGAATCGCTTGCGCAGGTGCTGAAGGGGGATCTGATGGTCCTGTCTGGGTGTGGTAACCCGTTGACGGCCAGTTCTTGGTCTGTCATCCGTGTTCCTAGCTGGTGGAGACGTACATTTAACCGCTGCAAAGCCGATTGATGTACACTAAATGCAGTTGCAACTTCCTGTTGCGTAGCTCCGGTTATCATCATCGTTAGCTCGGTTGCGTTCATCTTTGTTAAGGCGTGACATTGCAGCATCAATATTGCAATCAATCTTAAATATGGGTTTAATAGGAGTGTTTTTGTTTCTCTAAATCCAAAATGTCAATGAAAATAGACCCCCGATTTACAAGAAATAATGAAAAACACTATTT